TTGAAAAAAATCAATCCGCAACCGTCCGCTCATCATTACGCATCCATCTAAAATGCAGCGGATCGAACCGGTTTGATCGGTTTGGGTTAATCAAAATATCCGCTGCTCACCCCTAATTTAAATAGAGTCCTAAAAAATACTGAAAATTAAAATTTCTTATACAACTCAAATTAATTTGTCAATTAAGCCAACAATTCCTTACAAAATAAATAGGGAAATTTATATTTTCTCACAAATCTTGACAAAGTTTATTTTATTTTTCTTTTTATTCATGTTTCTCTCTACAACTTCCTGTTGTGTAATGATTATATTTATTTTCATCATTTTCTTACAAAATTTTTCATCTATTCAAATGCATGTAAGAAATTAATAAATTTTATTTCTTTTTCCTTTATTTCACATCACTTTCTACTATTTACATTTTCTATCATTTGTTTCTTTCTAAACAAACGAAGCCATAGAAATTTACAAAATAAACATATCAGATTTCCACAATGATTCATATAGTGCGTCTCACGAATCCAACAACATTGTCCAGTCTATCCCTGTGAAGCAGAGACGAGGTGCTCCTTTTTCAATATGTCAAAAAATGTTCATAATTTGAATATTTGGGAATAAATTGAAAAATTAGGGTACATTACACGTACCTCCCCTGAAATTTCTAACAATTACAAGGACATTCCCTTTGGTTTCAATAATTACACTAATTTCTCTTACTTTTGAAACTACTGAATAATGCTAGGGAATTCAAATAATCTACTAAATATTTTACCAAACCTCTCACATGGATGTGGGACCAACACATATGTGAGTTTGTGTCACACCCATGTGAGAGATTTGGTAGATCATTTGTGGTTCATAGCATTTTTCGAAACTATTATCAAGATTTTTCCCTGTTAGGCTATTTAATAGAATTTGCTGATGTCATATCAAAAATGACGAAATTGCCCATTAGTTACTTTTATCTATTCAAATGAAAAATTCTACTCACCTCTCCTGAGATTTTGCATATATATTATCAAAAACCCACACATATTTTTACCATTATTTAATAAATTTTTTAATTTTCATGTAATATTAAATAAAATTCTTAAATTGTTAAGACATTATTAAATCATTTAACGGAAAAAAAAAATTTAATTTTTATTAATGAAATACTTAAAAATAAAAAATATCTCTAAAACTAATGTTTGATAGTACCCTAATAATTTAATATAAGACTTATTTCATACCACATAAATATCCTAAAATTTATTATTTTAAGTAATGCATTTTATTATTTGAATTTTTTTTAAAGTTAAAATAAATAGATTTTTTTTTTTTTGGAAATTTGCATTACTTATTTATTCATATGTAAAAAAAATTATTATTTTATATTTTCTCAATCATATATTATTCTCAAATTTTAATTTTTATCTTTGAGTCATTAAATTTCTAGTCAATACATATTTAAAAAAGCGCAAGTTAATATTTCTAACGAGATTAAAAAAAATTGAAATAAAAAAAATCTAATTGCCTCGCAATAATTTAAAATTAGTTAATAGGCAATGAAAGATCAATAAATCATTTAAAAATAATAAACGACGATTTGTCATTTCTTAGATCTAAAATTAAAAATAATCTTTACTTGAATGGAGGTGAGAAATTAATTTTAAGATTTAATTTAATAAAAAAAAGTTTAAATGAGGAAAATAAATAGGGAAAAATATATTTTAAGTATCATACAACAAATTAATTGAGCATTTTAGTATTCTTAGATAATTTCTCCATTCAAGTAAAGATTAATTTTAACTTTAGGTATAAAAAATGACAAATTGTTTAAATTGTTTATTATTCTCAAATGATTTCTTGATCTTTCATTCCCTATTAACTAATTTTAATTTATTATGACGTGATTATTTTTTTTACTTTTATATTTATTTTTTAATTTCTTTAATCACATAAGAATAATTTGCTTCTTCTTTTTTTTTTTAAATATGCATCGACTAGAAATTTAAGGAAAAATTAGTCTAAAATTCTTCTTCCATTTTTAGTAATGGAAGAAATTCACAATATTATTTCATGATGTTTAAGTTCCCTCAACCTCACACTCATTTATCACAGAGAAATTTGACTCTCAAATCAAATCTCATTTCTCTCTCTCTCTACCTTTCCTATTTCATCTCTTTCTCTCTAAATCCAAACCTCACTTCACTCTTTTCCATGGTCGCCGCATCCGCATCCGCCTCCATCGCCATGACTAACCTCTCGGATGTAATCCTCTCAAACATAATTGCCACCATCTCCGACACTCGTAGCCTCAACTCACCGCCCTCGTCTACTGGAAATGGATCCTCCTAGAACACGTCACCCCCACCCACATCACCTTCCGCGGCAACGTCCACAACCTCTTCATCCTCTACACCTATTTCCAATTCGTCTCTCATATCGGCATCTCTTTCCTCTCTCCTTGGGGCCACTCTCTCCTCTCCTCTACTCCCAACCCCTCTCTTCTCACCCAACTCCTCCGCCAGGGAGATTGGCGTCTTGTTGATTCAAGTGTTGGAGTTGAGTGAGGACTTTGTTGACGATTTCAAGTCTTTGTCTGTCTTGTTGATTTTGCTTCAGCGATGACAACGATGAATCCACAGCTCTACTACCACAACTCTCATTGTCTTCCATCGCCATAAAAATCAAATCAAATTGTAATTGGAAGAAACTAGAGTTTGAATTTGTACTTTTCTACAATATTGGTAAGAATTTCACTATCTATTGTTGACTGTGTGAATTGTTGAATTGTTTTAATAGGTATAAATTTTGGATTAAAATTGTTGGATAAGCTAAGGCAGAGGCTTTCTTCACAGAGAAATTTGTGAAGAAAGCCAGAGAAATTCTCTGTGAACAAAGTCTGAGAAATTTCAATTTTCTTTGAACAAAGTCAGAGAACAAAGTTAGAGAAATTTCAATTGTCACTAGTTTGAATTCAAAGAAATTTCGGGTCCTTTTGGTGGAGCTTTCAAAATATAATTCCACACTCACTTTTGAGTATGGTGTTTGTTTAGTGTTTTAAAAAATTAATTCTACACTCACTTTTGAAAACTCTTTACAATGCGGGTAAATTTGGGCTAACCAGTCGTTCTCCTGAATGTCCGGCCAGTTGACTGGAGCAGTGCTATTTTTATTTTTATTTTTTTTACAATTGGCACCTGGTATTTTTTATATTTTAAATAAAAAAATTCAAAATTTTTTTAAATTTTTTTTTGAGCTTTGAATAGAATTTTGAGTTGTGTGTTTGGTTATAAGTTGTAAGTTTTTGTATCAAATATCACATGTCACATCAAACAAACTTTCCACACTCAAATCATAATTCCAAAACTCACAAATTCAAAATACACTTTTATTCTCAAATCATATTTAGAAAACTCTACCTAACGCAACCTTCAATTTTTTCTGGTTTGAATTTAGAGAAATTTCAATTCTCTCTAGTTTGAACCCAGAGTAATTCTCTGCACATAATGAGGCTATTTTCTCTAGTTTGGAAAGAATTTTCTCTAGATCGATTTGAGGGAGCTTAGACATTATGAAAATATTTGATATCCTTTATACTATAAAATTTTAATACTAGGGACCCTAAAAAAATTTTCAAAATTTAATGACTCAAAGATAAAAATTAAAATTTGTTAATAATATCTTAATAATTTAGGGATAAATAATTTTTTTACATATGAATAAATATGTAGGACAAATTGCTATAAAAAAAATTAATCCATTTGTTTCAACTTAAAAAAGAAAAAAAAAAATTATATAATAAATGCATTAATTAAAAATGATAAATTTTTCATTATTTATACAATGTGAAATAAGTCTTATAATGATTGTGGTCTTATATTATACTATTAGGATGCTACGTTAAATATGCATAGGTCTTTAATAATATATGTGCAAAACCTTAGGGAATGTGAATGAAAATTTTCATTTAAATTGTTTATTAGTTGATTTAATAATTTTCATCTCTTCCCGTTCAATTCAAAAGGGTAATATGGTCATTTTGGATAGCCAAGCAACACCGTTTGTGCTAAATTAACAGATTGGAAAAATTTTGATATTATCAGTAAACATAAGGAAGGTTTTTGTAATTATTGAAACTACAAGATTTCTGTAATTATTGAAATTATAAGGGAAGTTCCTATATTTATCAGAAACCTCAAGAGAGATAAGTGTAATTTACCCTTAAAAATTAATGCGATGCAAATCATGCAAAAAAATAAAAAATAAAAAATTTAATTCACATATTTCAAATTTTAAACACTATTAGATTTATTTTTTTATATGTTAGCAATTGTTTTTGTCAAAGTGTCCACACCAGGACATGGAATTGCTTTTAGGTCCAACATTGCTAGTGGAGTTTTTTAAATAAAAAAAAATTAAAAAAAAAAGCTAAAGCGATTTCAACAAAAAGGGTTCACAATCAATGGCAGATCCAAAAATAAACCAACTAAAGTCACTCATTTAAGAATCTCTCCTCAACCCCTTTTCTGAATAATGAGATGGAATGTCTGTTGCTTTGGGCAAAGCTCACAAGAGAAAAAGGGGGATAACAATGATGGTGTTTTTGCAGATTGAGAAGATGAAATGAGATAATTATGTGGTCAAACAAAGAACCCCTTTCGCATTATTGCCAAACTTTGAGCTAGCTTTGTACTTAGCATTGAAGAAAAAGCAGATTCAAAATTATACATTTAATGGTCACCTTCACATTGCAAAAATATCACTAAGTGGGTGTTTTTAATCATTACAGATAGGATAATGTTATATATAAATCAATTTCTTAATAATTTTCCTTTTTATCATTAAACATATAAAAATTCCAATGATTAGAATATCAAGTAAAAATATAACATTTATCTTACATAAATGCCATGTAATCAAATCTAATTTTATGATTCAATTGAGAATTGTGTCTAATTTTAAGATTGAATTATGTGGACCCAAAACAAACTATTATAGTAATCATTAACACATCTTTAACATTCCCTCCATTTTGCAAAATCTTCATTCCAATATGAGCCAAAAGCCAAAAGGTTTAGTTAGATTATAAAAATAAAAAAAAGCTTCCCAGCACTCGGGTTACAGACAGATAACTAGGTCCCCACAATTGTCTCCCCACTTGATCCCCCCAATTTCACTTCACCCAACTAAGACCATCCAAAAAAAAAGAGCAAAACCCTACATCAACCTTTTTCCACCACCCAACACCAATTTCTTTCTTTCTTTTTTTCTTTTTTTCTTTCTTGTTCATGCAAAACTTTCTTGTGTAACAAACATAGGGAGAAGACCATTTAGGTATCATTCCAAGCAGCAAAAACAGGCAAGTGAGCCATGGTGAGAGGAGCAGCAGCCCTCAGCTGGGCTGCTGCTGATGGAATCCAAGAACCGATTGTTGGAGCAGGGCCCACGAACTTCGCTGCCAACGGAGGCTTTGCAAAGAACATAGAGGGGCTATTTTTGTCCGGGCTAGCTTCCCTTGAGCTGCTCAAGCTGGTAACCAAAGAGGAAGTATTTGAAAAATGAGCCCCGAGCTTAGCTGACTCATCATCCATGATCGGCTGGCTCGAATTCACTGAATCGATCCCGATCAAATCATGCAAAGCCATTGAGAAAGCAGAGCTCCGATAATTCCCTGTACAGAGCTGTTTCTCATCCACAATTACATTTTGTTGTTGCTGTTGTTGTGGCGATTGATAAAACACCATTTTCCAATCCGAAACATTTGCATTGTTGCTCGCGGGCTGGACAGGCAGGTCTTCATTGTTTTGGCCCGAAGAGTGATACTCGATGACTTCATTGCTTGGCTCTCTCTCTTTGTTTCGCCTAGCAAGATCTCCGGCAAGCAGGGTATTGCTTGCTGTGATCCTTTCCACGTCGTAACGCGATACGTCAAAGTTCGTCACAGCATTGGATCCACGGAACTTGATTGCTGCTACGTCATAAGCTTCTGCAGCTTCCTCCTGAGTGCCTGAAATTTCGAGTTCAATGAGAAGCCAATATCTAAAGAAACATTCAGACTTTAATCAAGCATTTTAGCCAGAAAATCCTTTTTCACTTTATCATATAATCTAGAGAAGGGGCAAAGAAAATTTTAAACTGCCACATCGTATCGGGATTTTTCTCACTGATATCAGCCAATATATGGCCATATCACCAATACTAGTAAGTACGTGTCCCAGTAATTTTATTTAAAACAGAAAGTGCTACTGAGAAAGAGCTATATATGGTGTTACAGAAAAAAGTAGATGACCATCAAGCCTTGTGAAAGCATCACTAGTAGCACTATAAAGAGAAACATTGGAGCAGAGAGAGTGACATAAAACTGAGTCCTCAAAAAAGTTTTTGAAGCATTCAATGAGCCTAATCCACGAACATATGAATTGATTTACAAAAATTATAATGAGACTGATTAACATAAGAAAAATATAAGAAAAATACTTTGGAACTCTAATTTTTGAGCTGGCAGTGAACCCCAATGATGTAATGTTTTGATCTTAGTTTGTCTAGTTTTTTTTTCTTTTTTTTTTCCTTACTATGTCATTAGTACTCATGAGAGCACCAAAATTTGTGCTCATGAGAGCACCAAAATTCGTGGTCTAATCATTGCTGTTAACATAATTTGAAGATTTCATGCAACTTACTGAAAGTCCCAAGATAAAGGTCCTTGTTTCCAGCGACTCTCCCAATCCGAGCTTGCCATCTTCCATGCTGATGATGCCTGCAAAGATACATAAACTAAAAGTTAAGGATGGATGAACAAATTATCCATGATGAAAATTGTATCATGCACAGATTTTAAATTTCAGATGATACATATTCTACACAGATTTTAAATATCGGATGATACATATCCAACGTAATTGAATAATCAATAAAACCTTGTTACTCCTCTGTACATCGAAGCCCCCCTAGAGAATCCACTACTTTTCCTGCAAAGCACATTTCATATTAAAAATCAACTTTTTGGTTTTCCTTTTCTAATCAGTAATTCAATGTAAAAAACCTAGGAATCATAGGCATGATTTAGAATGGTACCTTCTTAAGTGAGCAACATATTCTTGGCGGGTCATGTTCTTCATCTCCTCAAGTTGTTCTTGGTATTTCTCCAACTGCGAAATGAAAAATAAAAAATTCAACAATTTCATTTCAAAAAAATAGAAAAAGCATAAACCGGTGGACTGAATCATACTGGGAAGTTAATATGGGTCGAGGGCCCCCAGTATTTAAGCGCGGCAAGATCATAAGCCCTTGCAGCTTTCTCTTCCATATCATAACCTCCTAAAGTCCAAAAATCCAGTTAATTAAATGAAGTTCAACATTTAAACATAGCAAATCACTATAGTTTCACATTATTGATAAATAAATAGACTTACCCAGATAAACTGAAAATGTACAATATGATTGGAATAGAATCCCCAACAATCATGAACAAGACGAACAAGAAAAAATAACAAGAGTCAGGTCAGAAACGCCAAAATATTGCAGTCAAAAGCAATACTTCCAAACAAGTAATGTAAAAATGAATTTGTTTTTGTGAGACTAACCTTGCCTTCCTTTCCTGGTCTGTCCTTCCTTCTTGCAACTATTGTCCCACAAATGAGCTTCATACCTACCAGTCCATCTATGTCTGGCGGAGACATACATAATTATTATAACAATATATATATATATATATATATATATATAAAAATATAGAAATCGATCACAAAATCATACACAAGCTCTTATGTAATGTGAATTGGGTCCCACATTTATGTCTAGTTTTAGTTTCATGATTGGTTTATGTTCCAGTAGAAAAAGTCGTTAACAAAAGGGTTACTTTCACATTAAGAAGAAAACAAACATGAAAGCATTAAAAAACAGGAAATTTCAAGAAAATCAAGAAATAAAAGGCCTAGGTATTGGAGAACACGAAAACGTAACTAGTAGGAAATGGAAATAAATCACAAAAATAGGCACGAACAGACCTTGTAACACCTCTATACTGAGAGGTTCTCTGCCCAAATGTGTCAATAGACTTCCTATGAACAGGTTGCTTCAGAGCAACTTTTGCAGACCCTCTCTTCTTGGTTTCCATGACTGTGGACTCAGTTCCAGTAGGTGAGATCTGGGTTGGAGCTGTGACACAGCTTGACTGAGAACCAGGACTCATTGACAAGCTCAGAGACTGTAAATCCCCACAACCAGCCACTGCACCACCACCTGACCCACACGCGCCACCACAATCCTCCACCACAATCCAATTTTTCAGGCAAGCACTGATCTGGGTATTATCTGAGTCTGCAAGTTGGGTCTCCCTGGTTTCTTCTTCTCTCTGCTCCTCCAATGGTGTCTGTTGGTACAACCCATCATTGCATGAGAGTCCATAGTAATAATGGTGGGGTTGTTGAACTTCATCCATCTCTTGCTGTTGTTGTTGCCTGTTGGTTTGTCGATCGGCATTTTGGTGGTGGTAGTACATGCTGTCTAAGCTTAGAGCCATTGCTTCTCTCTCATGGGTACTGTATTGGTGGTGGGCTGCCATTGTTGCACCACCAAGAAAGTCCTCAAGTTTAGGGGAAGTGTTTGGCACCATACCTTTTCAAACCCAAAAAGATTTCAAAACAAGAACACAAAGAAGAAAAGAAAATAGAAAATAGAAGAGAAAAAAAAAAAGAAAAGAAAACCTTGTGGTGGTGGTGGTGGTGGTTGTGATCTACTGAGAGCTTCCATGATACAGAGAGATCCATCTGACTTGAGAGGCATTACAGACAAGGGTGAGTGAAAGCCACCATTTTCTCCAACCCCATAACAGATTGCAGCGCTGTTGAGGTGTGAAAAAGGGGAGATATAGAAGCTAGAAGGAAGAACTTGCTGAGGTTGATGAAGATGATGACTGTACTGATGATGAGGGTTTGAAGAAACCTCCATTTTCATGTGGGGTGAGAGAGAGAAACCCAACCAGTTGTTATTATGACTATTGCTGCCATTGTTGTTGTCATTTGTAGACTTCATCTTCTTCCTCTATTTTCTTTCTCTCTCCTGCTTTTGTTCTCTGTGTTTCAAGGCAACTACTCAATCATTGGGGAGCACATAATAAACTAATCATTTCAAAAAATCTCTTTGGTTTTTCCAACTCTTTCATATGTGAAAAAATAAAATAAAATAACTTGGTTTTTTGTAGTCTAGCAGAGCAGAGAGCAAGAAAGAAATAAATTGCAAACAACACACTCACCGGAGCCGAGCACAAAACTCGCTTCAATCTATGCACATCATCATTCTCATCCCCCACAAAGAACAAAAACTAGTCCCTTTTAAAGGGTTTTAAAAACTAATACAAAAAGAATGAATTTTCAGCAAGCAAATGCTGGGTAGCACCCCTCATTCCATAGGGATCTGTGTAAATTTATAGTAGTATTTGAGAAAAAGACCCCTCTTTTCCCTCTTTTTTATTTTCTCTCTTTTTGATTCGTTTTCTCAATTTCCAAACACACCTTAAACCCTACCTAAGACCCAGGAGAATCAGCTCATAAGACTACTTGCTATTACCCAGAAAACCCAAAATCTAGTTGAAGCTAATTAAACACAATCTCTCTCTCCCCCCTATATATATATATATATAAAATCACGATTGAAGATTTAAATATTTCAAATCCAGTGGGTGCGAAAAGGCCAATGAGGAGAGAGGGTGGTCAGAGAGAAATAACCAAAAGAAAACAAAGGTTACTTTTATTTTACCAGTCACAGGCTGGGAGAGAGGCTGAGTGAGGAGGCTAGAATGGGGATAGAATTGACAATGGAAGGACATATCTGCCCATCCAGTCACTTCATAATACACCAGTACTCTCTGCTTTTCTGTACCACAGACTCTGCAACTCTTTAATTTAATACTAAAGTTTTTACTCCTCCCTCTCCCTCTCCCTCTCTCTCTCTCTCCAACTTAAGGCTAAATTTGACATCTAAATGATACAAAAAGTTAAAAATTCTATTTAAATTATACTATTTTATTTAAATCATATTACTTCTTTAACATATCACATTAAATCGAACTCAAACTCAATTCATATAAATCAATAAATAAAAAAATACATTTTTTTAAAACATTTAAAACCAACTCTTAAAGTCAAGTTGTATCCTCCTCCAGCTTGGTTCCAACTTTCAATTCAAAACCAAGTAGGAGCAAATAGTGTTTTAATACCACTACTGTTCACTACAAAAATGGTGACAGCCCATTACTCACACCATAGATTTTGATTTTTAATTAGTATTCTCTATGTGTGTATGTGGGTCCAGTGCATTGATCATGAACTGTATTCAAATCTTTGCACTGATGAAATGGATATTGCTGTTCAATTTTAACTGGTTAATGTTTATGTTTCTTTAAAAAATTATTAAAATATATAAAAATATAGTAAAATGTGTATTAGAATTTCAGCTTTTTATGTTATTTGGGTGATTTTTAACGTTACCCAACTTTATTTATTAATTGAACCATTTATCCTACTTTTTCTTTCACGTTATTTTGTTTGAAATCTCATTTTTAATCTTTGATGGGGGTACTTTTATAGTAGGTGAGGCCTCGTTTAGGAACAGACTAATTTAGTAATTTTTTAGTTATTTGATTAAAATATGAGCTAAAAAAATTAGTATGTTTGGGATGACTTTTTGACTTTTTAAAAGAAAAGATGTGCAAAAAGTAGAAAGAGAAGAGAATCTTTGACTTTTTGGTATGGGTTGTTGACTTTTTGACTAATTTAGTAATTTTTTGACTTTTTGACTAAAAAATTCGGTTGCCAAACGAGGCCTGAGGTGTATTTTTGATAAGTAAAAATTTTAGTTTAAAAAAATTTAAAAAGTCATTACAAAAAATTAATATAAAAATCTAATTTTCAAATCAACATTGAATATTAAGATTTATATGTGGTGTGGTGTGGTGTGGTGTGTGGAGGTTGATGATGGCCAACCATGAAGTTTGTGTTGATTGCAATTTACGTAATAACAATGGTTGGTAGTTCGAATTGTCATGGTCCGAATAATTCGAATGTCTCAAAATAATGTCATTTTGGGGGTGAAACGATATCATTTTGATATATTCGAGTCATTTAAACCATACAAATTCAAATTATCAAGTATTTTTCTTTGCATAAAATGGTTACGTTGAGAGCATACAAGCTGGATTTTGTAGATGGATGAATAGGATTGTGTTCGGCGAAGCGATACCCCTCACAGGGGAGTGGAGTGCTTATTTTGAATTTTTTTACTAATAAATAGTTTATTTGTTACAAGGTATCACATTATTTATTTATTTATATATTTTTTTATAAAAAAAATCAACAAAATCACTAAATAAAAAATCTCAAATCATCCCTCAATAACATCGTTAATGTCATTGAATTTCAAAAATAAGATAGGAGGTGTGTAATTAATCCAAAATACTATTATTACAGCATTTTAATATACATATATATACATACTAGCATAAAATCCGTGTTATACAACGCATTAAATAAAAAATTTAAATTTTATCTGAAAAATTAATGTAATAATTTCAAAATTTAAAAGAAAAAAATATTTAAAATAATGTAAATAAGTTATTTTCATTTAAATTGCACTAAAGTCGTATTTTCATTATATTATCATTAATATTTATGTGGACCAATAATAACATTTTAGAGTAAAAAAATTGAATGAATTATAAAAATTATATTTAGCATAAAAGATATATATATATATACTTTTATATTAGATTTTTTGTAAGGACATAACAACTAAAATTTTTAATTTACAATTACATAAGAGAAAAGTTAGGGATCATAAAAAATTTTTCATGAAAGATTTATGATTCTTGGATTACCTTGATTAGTGTGTGATACTTTATTCTAAGTGTAATCCAAGAGTCACAAAGTTTTCATGATTATTTTCATGAAAGATTTTTCATGATACCTAACATTGCTGATTACATAATAATATTTGTTTAAATTTTGTCAAAATAAAAAATATATTGGAGAATGAAATAATTTTATTTATTTATTTATTTCTGAGAGATTAACATTGACTCCTTTCCTCAAGTCATCACAAATAAAGCCTAATCTAACCCGCATCGAGAACCACCTCAGAATAAATTCCAATCTACTTAAAATTTTATCGCTTTTGCATTTTTAATTAATTGTGCAAAAATAAAGGCCTTGTTTGGTTTGACTTTAAGAGATAAATTTTCAAAAAATATTTTAGGAAGAGAATTTATAAATTTTTGTCGTTTGTTTGATCATATATTTTAAAAATGATTTGGGAGTTTGGGATAATTTAATATTTGTTGTAATTAAATAGATGTATGTGAGAGAAAAAATAATTGAAAATGAGAGAGCAGAGAAAAAAAGTGATTGATTGATGTATAGAAAAGAGAAAGAGAAAGTGATTTTAAAAATTTTTTGAGAAAAATTACAAGCCGAACAAAATTTTCAAAAATTTTCTCCAAAATCTTTTTTCCAAAGTCAAACCAAACAAGGCCAAAAATTTTATTAGAAAAATAAGCCTCCGTTTGGGAAGTGGGTTGGCTTTTTGGCTTTTTGGCTTTTTTGGCTATTTTATCCTGGGCTAAAAAGCTTGGTTTGGGAAAGACTTTTTGGTTTTTTAGCTTTTTTGACTTTTTTTGTGAGAGAAGAGTGTAATGATTATGGGTTGGATGTGATGTTTTGTTTGTTATGGCTAAAATAGCCTATTTTGTTTTTTGTGGCTAAAATAGCCAAAAAAACCCAACTAACTTCTTCCCAAACGGTGAAAATAGTAAATATTTTAAGGTATATATTTTATTTACATATATTTAAGATAATTGCATAAGAAACTTGACATTAAATTTTTTGAATAATATTTATGCTACTTTTGGATAATGATTACAGGAAAAATAAAATAAAATAATTTTAAAAAATGATTTTTTTTTGCAATTATCTAATTCAATTCTTTCTTTTTCTTAACTCAATCAAAGCAAAAAATAGTCTCTCACTTCATTTTCATTTTTATGTGTTTTTTTTTAATTTTTTTTTTAATTTAACTAAGCACATGTCATATAGCATTTTATGTTTTTTCATATATCAATTTCATTTTTTTAAAAAATTATTTGTAAATATTTTTGAAGTGTGTGATATATAAGACCATCTCCAACAGTTAAGCAAACCTGGCATCAAATTTGAAATTTGGTGAAAAACGCACTTTTTTGGAGATTCAACGGTTTCACCAAATTGATATCAAAATGAGAATTGAACAAAAAAATCATCAAACTGAAAACAAAATACAAGTTTCACCAAATTACTGTACGTGACCGTTGGAGGAGGCCAACCGGTCAACCGGCCGATTAACCAACCGATCGGCCGGTTCCCTTTCAAATAGGTAGGTTCAAACCGGTCAAAAAATGTTCAAACAGGTAAAAAAAAAAAAAAAATTGCCCTTACCGGTCGACCACTTCCCTCAATTCTGCTTTGATGCTCACCGTTGGAAAAAGAAGTATAAAATTGAGAAAACAACCTATTTTTTACTCAGATTTGGTGAAAAAAGAAGTGAACGGTTGGAGATACTCTAAGTATTGAATAACAATATCCATGTGGTCTAATATGGAAAACAAATTAAGGATCTTGAAAAAATAATTCAAAAAAAAAAATCAAAAATAATGTGTGTGGAGCATATTCAAAATGGGTAAATTACAAATACACCTCTTGAGATTTGATTAAAATATAAATCGTTCTTTGTGGTTCTGAAAATTACATTCCACTCTTTGAGATTTTTAATTTCATAACAAATCGCTCCTTTTATTGATAAATAATCAAGTCAATTAACAAATTTTAATGATGTTATAAATATGTTTCAATTAATAATTTAGGTAATTTTATTATTGTATAGGAGAACAATTATGAATTTCTTTTTTTTTAGTTAATTATGTTAAATAAAATTTTTTAACAATGAGGTATTTGTAATTTTTCAAACTACAGGGTCAATCTGTACTTTAAACAAACCTCAGGAGGTGTATTTGTAATTTAACCATTCAAAATTTATGTAATGTATGGCCACAATCAAAATGCATATGGTCCACCCATTTTATTATTTAAAAATTTTGTAGATATATTTTTTAAATAATATTTTTTGATTAATTACCTAAAAGTCCTATCTATATATTTAGTAGAAACTTAGATCCTGTCAAAAAATTTTTGAACCAGTAAGTCCCATTTATAAGTAAAAAGACGTTTTGCCCTTTTAACCCAAACAAGTGTATATATAATAGCATTGCTGTTTAACTGGATTAATGCCAAAACTAAGAATGTTCTCAATTTCAAAATAGAGAATGATTTCAGTATATAATTATCAAAACTAAGAAATTTCTCAATTTTTTTTTCTAAGTATGAATTGAGAATATTATCAATTTTAAAAAATTCTCAATTTTTTTCATGATTAAAATTGAGAATATTATGAACTGAGAATGCTCTCAAGTTCAAGACAGAAAATGATTTCAATTTATAATTATCAAAACTAAGAAATTTCTCAATTTTTTTTCTAATATTAATTGAGAAATATTATCAGTTTTGAGAAATTTCTCAATTTTTTTCATGATTAAGATTGAGAATATTATCAATATTCTCTGTCTCTTACATTTATCTTCTCCTCCTCCATCTACACTTTTCCAGATCTAGAAATCTCCTAATCTAGTTCTAGATCTGGTATTTCAGACGACAAGTTTGAAATGCCTTGTCTCCGACGAGAATGGTTTTCAAAACAACATCAACGAGTCGCCACAATCACACCATCAGCAAAACACTTTTGGTCATTCTGTTAATAGTATCATCATCGACGATGACG